GCCCAAAAAGTCAGTACCTCACTTCCTTCCCCCCTCCCTCTCCCTGCCCCTCTTTCATTTCACATAGTAGCCCAGGCTGGGTTCCAACTTGTGACTCCTCCTACCTAAGTCTCCTGGAATTACAGACACAAGACACCATATTCAGTTAAAACAAGTCTTCTTTACAAATATTTGGGCATGTTGTTTGTGCGTGCGTGCGTGCGTGCGTGCGTGCGTGCGTGCGTGTGTGTGTGCGTGTGTGTGTGTGTGTGTTTACAGACTGAGGTTTGACCTCGGGGCTTTGTGCTTGCCAAGCAGGCACTCTCCACTTCAGCCACATCTATAGCCCTTTTTGCTCTTATTATCTTTGTTACAGGGTCTTGCTTTTCCCCCTGGCCAGCCTGAACTTCAATCCTTCTATTTACATGTCTAGCTGAGATGACAGATACATGCCACTGTGCTGTGACCATTTATTAGTTGAGATAGGGTTTTGTGAACTTTTTGCCTAGACTGGCCTCCAAACTCCTGGGCAACTAGAAATATAGGCAGTGAGTTACTTACCAGATGACTATGTCTTTCTCCCCAACTACGCAATAAAAATGGGGCCACACTTCCTTCCCTATCACTGGGTTTACTAATTCACATACTATGTTTACATTTTATAATATTTGCTGACTAATACAAAAATCAGAAGACAGGAGTAACACCTGTGTTGCAAATTAAACATGTAAGTTTTTATTATTATCTACAATTGTTAAGCTTCAGAAAGTATCGTTTCACTCATAGTATACAGAAATCTATGCCCTAGTAAGTCAACTTATAATTGATTTCTACTTTTATGTAATCAAGTTTGTCAGCCACTGCAGGTCATATTTATCAGGTATCAGTTTAAAAACTTTCTGCAAAAAAAAAAAAAATTTAATCAATTTTTGTTCAGCTTATTTCTTCACCATATGAACCACCATTCTTTCCGCACATCTGGAATGCAGGTTCCAAGAGAACAAAGATCAGATCTGCTTTGTTCACTGCCATCTAAATGCCTAATCGCACAGTCAATCCAATCACCCTTGTCTCTCCCTCCATAGGTGAGTATCCAAGCAACACTGCACCACTGGCTCCCAGTATGTCAATGAGCAGTTCGTGGTGTAAGAGACAGTTTAGTCACTATAAAGTCCCCAAACCTGTCAAAGTTCTACTAGAAGTTTGTATTTAAAAGAGACTTTTTTAATCCCTATAAATTTTTAATAATTTAGCTCATATATAACACAACTCCATAATCACAGACTTTTTGTATTTTTTCACATTAATTTAGCCCACATATGAAAAATAGGAATGTACCATATATCCCTTCCACTTACTATTCTTCAGTAAAGAGAAAGAGAAAATAATGATTCACATATAGCCACACTATTCTACTCAGTAACTATATGCTTCACAGTGAACACAGGCGATGGACATGTCCTGTGCTTTCGGTCAGTCTCAGTCTACTTCATCTATGCTAAAAATAGTAAGAAGCATGCTGTTCCAACACAGAGCAAAAGCTGGCTGTGATGTACTTCCTGAGAGACAGATCACAAGTCAGTCTCTGCTGTGACTCCTTTCCAGATTGTACTTTGAGGATATCCAATTTTCATCTTACCCATGGATTAAAGCTCAGAAACAGGACTGGGAACATGGCTCAGTTGTAGAGCGCTTGCCTTGCATGCCAGAGGCCCTGGGTTTGATTCCTCAGCACCACATAAGAAAAAAGAAAAAAGCCAGAAGTGGCGCTGTGGCTCAAGTGGTAAAGCGCTAGTCTTGAGCTGAAGAGCTGAGGGACAGCGCCCAGGCCCAGAGTTCAGGCCCCACAACCGGACCCAAAAAAAAAAAAAAAAAGTTCAGAAAGACTGTATTAGATGCATGAGACATTTCTTACTTGATCCCCAAGTTTCTTCCTAACTACAGGCACATTTAAGTAACTATAGCTCAAAGTGCTCAGAGCTACCACTATGAGGAAGACCAAATCTGTTTCCTTTTTGGTCATGTCTAAATGAAAATAATGACCATTTAAAACTTAGGAAATGGGCTGGGAAGGTGGCTCAGTGGTAGAGCGCTTGCCTTGCATACCTGAAGCCCTGGGTTCAATTCCTCAGCACCACATAAGCAAAAAGAAAAAAGCCGTAAGTGGCACTGTGGCTCAAGTGGTAAAGCGCTAGTCTTGAGCTGAAGAGATGAGTGACAGAACCCAGGCCCAGGGTTTAGGTCCCACAACCGGACCCAAAAAAAAAAAACCAAAAACTTAGGAAATATATATATATGTATATATATATATGAATATATAAAACAAAAATGTAAAAAAGAAAAGTGGAGGAAAAGAACAGTACCTGAGACCTGCCCGTACACCATGCTGAGTTACTACTTCAAACTGTCAGATACAAGCAATACTCAAGGAACATCTATTCTAGAAAAGAAAGCTCTAATCCCCTACCAGAATATATAAAATGGGAAAGCACTATCTATAAATGTCCATGTCATATTAATTATATCAATTTTATGCCAATGTGTATGAAATGATCAGTAAAATGAATAAGAGAAATTACTTCTTTCTAGCTTCTAGTAAGTCTCTGCTACTATGAGAAATCTCTTCGAAGATTGACTCTAATCCCAAGATCTCCTAAGAAGAGTCTTGGATAAGCTCTGTACACAGGCTATCATACTCCCTCTTCCTCATCATATAACTGATGTAGAGAAAATCCTAAAATTTATATACACAAAAGATAGGTTATTAACTGTATATGATGACCTTCCTTTATTAATTCTCAAGTAATCTATCATTCTAATTTCTCTTGGTTAGATGTTGAGAAAGATGTAGAGTCACACAACAATTATTCTTTGGTTTTGGGTAAGAAGAGAAAGCTTCTTGCTGAACTGCAGAGGCAGAAGCAAAAGTTAAAATATCCCAGCATCTTTCCTGTCTTTCCTTTAGGAAGTTGCTCCTCAACTCCAACTATAGGATTTCAGTAGTACTGTCAAACAAGTGCCAATGAACTCAACCAAAAGAGTAAGGCACACAACATTTTTATGTCTTATCTGGCCAATCAAGCCCTTCTCTGGAATCTGTAAACACTGGAAGCACAAGTTTTCTATCTACTCTAAAATACAGTTTGGATGATGTAACACAGAAGTTGTCTGGAGTCCATCTTTCAGCTCTTATATAGTAGAATGAGACACACACACACACATATCACGAGACTTGCAATTAAAGAAGCAGAGATAGCCAGATGATGGTGGCTCACACCTATAATCCTACTCAAGAGGTTGAGATCTGAGGATTGCACTTCAAAGCCAGCCTGGGCAGGTAAGTCCCTGAGACTCTTATCTCCAAATATCCAGCAGAAAGCACTGGATGGAGTACTGTGGCTCAGATGACTGAGCGCTTGCCTTGAGCCGAAGAGCTCAGGGACAGCGCCCAGGGCCAGAGTTCAAGCCCTACAATTGACAAAATAAATAAATAAATAAGAGATGGGGACTGAGGAGTCAGAGGTTGTTTGTAGGAGGAAGAAAGATATAAACCGGGTGCCAGGGGCTCCCGCCAATAATCCTAACTACTCAGGAGACTGAGATCTGAGGATCATGGTTCAAAGCCAGCCTAGGCAGAAAAGTCTGTTGAGACTAATCTCCAATAATCTACTCAGAAAAAAGCCAGAAGTGGCACTGTGACACTGTGGCTCAAGAGGTAAAGTGCTAGCCTACAGCACAAAAAGGCTCAGGGACAGTGCCCAGGCCCTAAATTCAAGCCTCAGGACCCTGCCCCCCCACCCCCAAAAAAAGAAAAAAATAAGTTTAGTAGTTATTGATGCCCTACCCCTTCTCAAGTTTGTGAACCAATAAATTTCTTTTTGTTTAAGCTCATTTGATTTGGATTTCTGTCATTAGTAACAGAAAAGAGCTTTCACTTAAAAAGCGTATTACCAGAGTAAATCTTAGAAATTCCTAACAGTGTATATCCAAGGCAAATCTATGGTTTCTGGTTTGAATACACAATGAATTTTCATGCTACATGGAATAACTATAACTCAAACCTTAATTCAGGATTGATCTCATAAATATATAAAGATGTTATCTGAAACTGTAGGTCATGAAAGCATGCCATCTAAAGTCCATGAGACTATATAAGTAGATCATATGTTAAACACACTTTATTTAAAGTTCAAAAGGCCTTAATTTTCACTCACACAGATAATATTTGGTGCCATGAATGTGAAATAGAATACACCTAAGGAACACCAACATACTCCAATATCCTGAAAGACAGATAGCATTCACCTGTTGGTGATGGTCCCAGTACTTATTATTCTGCTATAGGTCGTAAAGAACTCACATTTGTCTCTATGATCATCTGAATATTAATAGTTCACACATTTTCCCCATCTGTCTTCATGGTGCATCTGGTGTAACAGTCCAGTCATTGCCAGTGGATTTAATATCCTCCACTTAAAATTTAAACATAAGCAAACACGCATCTTAAACACATGTAGGTCCTCCATCCCCATTTATAACAGATATACTTCCCGCCAGTGCAACCCAACATCTGCAACTGACATGCAATTTTCACCTAAATACAAACATCTGAAAGAGAGCACCAAAAGCTAACGTCCATACTTATTTTGCATCCTTAACTGCTGTGGAGTGGGGACGGGAGGGAGTGGTAGAATGGGCAGTGGAGAAGATGCAAGCCTTCCAGTGCATTCTAACATGGGTCTGGGGGGATAAGGAGGAGCAGAGAGGCCTGCTTATTCGGAGAAGGCACCCTAGCTGATGCTGATCACACCGTGATGCTGATCACGCCTCTATCTCACTCCATCCTCCCTTGTAGCACACCCACTCCGCACTTGTAGAGACTGTGGGCAGCGCTTCCCTTCCTCCCCTGAGTGTCACGCCTGGAGAACTAGCGAAGACAGAGGTGCCTGCACTCTAGAGCGCGCCCCACGTTTCCTCCTGCTTCCCTGGCTCTGCGGTACCGCTCGCAGGAAGAGACTCGAATGCAGTACACAGACGCGGTCATCTCCATCCCCACGGGCCAGCTGCACAGCGGCTGCCGACCTGGGGCGGCAGGGCCACCCACCTCCCAGTCTCCGGACCGCGAGGTAGGCGCGGAGTCCCCGGGCCGGACCGGCCGGGGCCCGGCGCAGGGCACGCCCCTCCGCGCCGGGGTCAGCCGCGCCGCGCCGCGCCGGCGGCCGGGGCCGCCCAGCCCGACCGCGCGGCTCTGTCAGCTCCCCAGGCTGCGCCACGGTCGCCCGGGGGACCGGGGCTCAGAGCGCCCGCGCGCGTCCTCCGGCCCACCCCGGGGGCTTCCCTCTCATCCTCGATACCCCGCACTCTCTACTCCGAGGAGACTCGTTACCTGCGCTCCCAGCCATTCCGGCCCGGATCCCGGCGCCCACGTGATCCCGCCCCTGGCCAGGCCTTACGCACGCGCAGTACTCGGCCACTACCAGCCACGCTTCCGCTTTCTTCCAGCCGCCGGGTTCTCTCCGGGGCGGTCCGGGCCTCTACACCTCGCCCCTATTTAAAGGGCCAGAGGGATCCCATCTCCTTGATAGCCTTAATGGATAGCTAACCACTTGGAAACTAGGAGAGAGGAAAGTCAGAGAATGAAGCACACAGACCAATAAATAATAGTCTGAGATGGGGGAAGAAAGACTCTTTCAGCCCTAAGTCAGTAAATTCACCTAGCCTTCAAGAAAGTGACACTGTATTTCAGCAGAGACAGAAAGGATAATTGATTTCTGGAGTTTGCAGCCAATAAACAGAAAGGAAAATGTGTGTGTGTGTGTAACATATATGAACACGTATATGCAAATATATTGCAAATACTGCCAGAGGATGATAGCCATTAGGAAATTTTTTTTAAAGATGATAACCATTCCTAATTATCAACATTGCTCAGAAAAAAAAAATGCATAGCACAGGAGCGACATAGACTGAAACAAAGGAGCTAACTTTATTTTCTTGTTGCTACTAAAAAGAGATGAAAGTTTGCAAGGCAAACTGGCTTTTAGACTTGCCCTCGAGGTAACACGGACCCTGGACATAGATGATATACCTGCTAGGCCTATGGTCAAGAAGTTAGAAGAAGAAAGAATGCCAGAAAGTACTCCTGGGAGGAAATACAAAAATTAATCCGTTTGCTAACATTTTTGAACATTAATTGACCTCACTACACTTTTGAGCCTGCAGAAGACCAGAGCTGGCAAAAAGCACCCTGCCCTCCAGATACTCTAGGCCCAAGAACTGAAAGTATAGACATCATGATAGTATAAGGCAGACTGAGTAAAGTGACATAAGTAAAGGTTTGGAGACATCATTTTAGGGTTACCAATGAGGGGAAATGGAAGATTTCAGGGACGTAGTAATATCCTATATGGACCTTGAAGGGTTTCAGTAGTCAAAGAGCAGGGAGAATGCTTTGCTTACTGAGGAAAGTATGGGATCAATTGTAAACAAAAACAAGTTTGAGGACTAGTTGCTGTCTTAATGTGGCTGAGAGATGGACAGCGGCTTTCAAATGTCTTAACCATTGCCTCAGTAAGAAGTACATTTCAGGGTTGGGAAGGTGGCTCAGTGGTAGAGTGCTTGCCTTGCAGGCATGAGGCCCTGGGTTCAATTCCTCAGCACCACATAAGCAGAATAACCTGGAAGTGACACTGTGGCTCAAGTGGTAGAGCACTAGCCTTGAGCTGAAGAGCTGAGGGACGGTGTCTAGGCCCAGAGTTCAGGCCCCATGACCAACATAAATAAATAAATGTCCTCCTCTTTAAAAAAAATACATTTCAGCCACAAAAGTATATATTAAAATATATATGTACAAATACATAAAATATAAAATAAATATATATGTGTATGCACACACATATATATTCAGCATGATTATGCACACTAGTATATATATATAATGTACATATATATTTATTGTGTGTGTGTGTATGTGTCACAGAAACTGGCTAGAGACAGTGAAATCAAAAATGTGGGTGACAAAGAACTGTTGGGATACAGTGTTAGGTGAGAGACAGGAAAGTTTTAACTAACTTTTCCAAAATGTCTCTATAGCCAGTATAGACTTATTCTGGATAACTGTAGAGAGCAAATATAAGATTTGGGGGTAGATGATGTAAAGAATCATTTCTGCCAGTTGCCAGTGGCTCACGCCTGTAATCCTAGCTACTCAAGAGGCTGAGATCTGAGGATTGCAGTTCAAAGCCAGCCGGGGCAGGAAAGTCCCTGAGACTCTTGTCTCCAATTAAGCACCAGAAAACCAGAAGTGGTGCTGTGGCTCAAGAGGTAGTGTTCAACGTCAGCAAAAGAGCCCAGGGACAATACCCAGGTCCAGAGTTCAAGCCCTATGACTGGCAAAAAAATAAAATAAAAAAGAATTATATTTCTATTCATAATAAGAAATGTTTAGAATAGTTCAAGCAACCACACACACACTAAATCAACAATGAGAAATAGTGTCACATACTCTCCAGGATTGTTTACACTAACAAAAAATTAAAAAAAGGAAGTAGTGCTGTGGCTCGAGCAGTAGGGCACTGGCCTTGAGCTGAAGAGCGCAAGGATAACACCCAAGCCCAGAGTTCAAACCCCACGACCGACAATAAATAAATAAATTTTAGGCATGGTGGCACACACATGTATCCAGCACTTAGAAGACTTATCAAGGCCAGCCTGGGCTACATATTGAGATTCCATATCACGAAATCAGGGTCTGAGGATGTAGTTCAGTTGCAGAGTGCTTACCTAGCATGCACAAGACCCTGGAATTGATCTCTGGCACTGCAAAACTATATTAATACTAGCAATGAATAAATAAAAATATTGTGAGCACCTGTAATCCTACCTACTCAGAAAGGAGGCCAGCTGGGGCTGTAAAGCTCATGAGACTCTTATCTCCATCAAAAAGCCAGAAGTGAAGGTATGGCTCAAGTGATAGCGTGCTAACCTTAAGCAGAAAAGCCAGGTAAGACCTTGAGTTCAACCTAGTACCAACACAAAATAAAATTAAAATTAAAATATTGTATGCTTAGTATAAAATATTGGAAAATTCAGGAAATACAAAGATAAAACAGGAGCCAAGCCTGGTGGCTCATGCCTGTAATCCTAGCTACTCAAGAGGCTGAGATCTGAGGATCACGGTTCAAAGCCAGCCATTTCCAATTAACCACCAGAAAACTGGAAGTGGCACTATGGCTCAAGGGGTAGAGTGCTCACTTTGAGCAGAAGGGCTCAAGGACAGCGCCTAGGCCCAGAGTTCAAGCCTCATGACCGACCAAATAAAAAAAAAAGATAAAACAGAAGTTACATCGCAAAGAAGAAGTACTTATCATTTCTGACTAGTTTCATTTGGGTCTTTTACTTTGTATGTTTACTTTTTTAAATAATAGAATTATATAGAGTACATAGTTAATCTTGCTTTTTTTCCTTAATGTTATCTTAAGCACTATTAACTATTACTTAAGTTGTTCACAGATACTTGTAATAGTTGTTGCATAATTACTGATTATGTATTTTACTGATCACTGAAATACAGCTGACCATGTACACACTTTGGTGATGATAATGTAGTTTTCATGCCTGCTAAGACAACATCCATTCTTCAGATCAAGGAATAATTTCAACTTTTGAAGTAAGGGAAAAACTAGGTCTAAGTAAGTCATCTTGTTCTCACAGCCATCCGGATGTCTAACCAGCTGATAAAGGCTTTTCACCTGGCTTCAAAGACTTAGAGGTGAGAAGAGTCATCCTTGAATTACAGATAAACCCAGTTCTTTAGACCCAGAGAGGATGTAAATATATCATCTTGTTTAGACCCAGGGAAGTCCCACCTCCCAGGTGATGGGGGGGGAGTGGAGGGGGGGGTCCTTGGATGATAGGTTACTGGACTCGAGTTTTCTGTGACCGTACCCCCAGAGCTGACCAGATTTTAGGGTCAGACCAGCTCAGATGCCATCGTGCCTGGCCTCCTGTACCGTTTCCTTGTGCTGTGTCCTGACTCCTGGCTCTTCAGTCAACATAGCATCCTACCTCAGCTCTCCATTAGGGTTGATCTGGGTTTTTAGTATTGTTTTTCTGCTCTTGCTTTCCTCTCCTGCCCTCATGACATGGTTTTCTAACGTGTTCAATCTATTCACAAGGCTGTAAGTCTTTGTGACAGTAGTCAAATTGCATGCAGATGCCAGCCTTCTAATAAAGACTCCCAATTTGACCTCTTAAAATGTGGCTTCTCTGTATCTTGCCAACTAAATTCACAACACTTCTAAGTCTTAATATTGAAGAAATAAATTTCATGGAGCTGGGAATGTAGCTTAGTTTTATAGTGTTTGCCTAGCATGAGTGAGGTTCTAGGTTCAATCCACAGAACTACAAAAAATAAAGCAAAGAGAAAGCAATATATTTCTTCAGACTACAGCTGTCATGGATAGTGATTCCTCTGATGGATCTGTGTAAACTAAATTTAAAATCTTCTGGAAAGAAGACACTTTCAGATGCTACAGTGTAGAAACTCTATTGTGATTCTTTGGAAGAGGTCAAAATACCAATCTTGGAAGAAGTTTAGTTCTGATCTCCATAGATGACTTTGAAGGTCTCACGATTTCACCGGAGGAAGTAAATGCAGTTGTGATAGTAAAGCATGAGAAATAAATGAGAAGTAGAGCCTGACAAGTGACTGAATGATTGTGAAATCATAATATTGTAAATCTGAGTGGATGAGGATGTGGTTTCTTTAGATGGAATCTACTCCTGGGAAAGATGCTGTGGCCACTGTTGAAATGATGACAAAGAATTCAAAATATTACATATATTTAGAAGAAAGCTAATGGTAGAGTTTGAGACAATTCTAGGTTTTTTGTTTATTTGTTTAAACACAGGGCCTCATGCTCTTGCTTTTTTCACTCAAGGTTGGTGTTTTACCACTTGAGCCACATTTCTACTTCTGGTGTTTTTTTGCTGATTAATTGGAGATAAGAGTTTTTCCAAATTTGTCTGCCTGAGCTAGTTTTGGACCATGATCCTCAGATCTCAGCCTCCTGAGTAGCTAGAATTACAACTGCGAACCATTCATGCCTGGCTTGATTCCAGTTTGATTCCTGTGGCTAAAATCTTATACATAGCATCTCATGCTACAGAGAACTCTTTCATAAAATAGTTGTTACAACAAACTTCTGTGTATTAGTTTAAGTAATTGCTATAGCTGAGCACTAGTGGCTCATGTCTATAATTCTAGCAACTCAAATGGCTGAGATCTGATGATCGAGGTTCAAAGCCAGCCTGGTAGGAAAGTCCACATGAGACTCTTATGTCCCATTAATCACCAAAAAGCCAGAAGAGGAGCTATGGGTTGAGTGGTAGATCACTAGCCTTTAACAACAACAACAGAAAACAAAAACAAAAATAGCTCTCAAGGACAGCCCCCAGGCTCTGAGTTCAAGCCCCAGGACCAGCACCCTCATCCCCCAAAAAAAGCCTTAGCCATCCAGCCTTCAACAACCACCACTCCGATCAATCAATCAGC